GGCGATTAGCGAATACAAAACGAGAGCCAACAATAAATAAATAAATCAAATTCAGAACAAACAATAGAAGGAATAAGAACAAGAAGGAGGAGCAGCAGTTGAGGGGCACGAAGAAAGAGGGCAAAGTTTGCCAAGTGATTTGGATAAGTTCGATATTGCGTAGGCAAGTCTATAAACTGGCGGGGGAAAATCATCAACGGGAGGGGAGCGAGGTTTTCTTCGGAGACTGGCCAACAAATATTTTGACATTTTTCCAGCAGCGGCCATAAATCAGTCAGCGAGTGAGTGAGCGAGAAAGCAATGGACGGCTGACATGGTTTCTGTGCTCTGGACTCATAATTAGAAAATTAGTTCAAGTAACTCAAGGGGTTGGGGGAAAAGTATAAAGGGGACTAAATTTTATAAACATGGGTTAAAGTAGTAGTTGAATGCCTGATCATTAAAAGAACAGGTTTTTAGCTAACAAAAATCATTGCATACTTTCTGGTTACCAACTGAGAAGAATAGTGCAGAAGCCATAAGACTCTTGTGATTAAAATATTCGACCGATTGATATAAAATTTGCTATGCAAACGGAAACATAAAGCATATTTTATTTTAGAATAAATGTTCCCAATTTGAACTTTTAATTCAAATATAGATATATAGTTTGTAATTTTAGTACATTTCCATATGAATAGCAATGGGTAGGTATTAAAAAAAAACCTTAAAAATTATGTTTCAAGTAAATTTATGTTTAAAATTAATCCTTAAAAAAAAAATGTACTTTCGGAATTTTGTAGAATGTTTAAGCTTCAATCCATTGAGAGATATAGTGTTAAATTTAGAATAAATGATTTTTCAGGATCCCAGAGATCCATGGATGTATACTCGAATCTTTTCATCTTTCTATACTTCCGTATCCCTCTATCTCTGCATTCCTTCTGCGGATTGTCAAGTGCTAAGTGCTCGAGAGTGGCGAACTGCGCGTCACAGGAGCAACTCGAGCACTTTGACAGACTATTATGCGGAAAGGTTTCTTTCACTTTCCATGGCAGGGAACCGGAGGAACCAGACGTGAGAAGCGGAGGAGCGAAAGATGTTCGAGTCGCTGCGGAACTGTCATTTCCGTTTTACTTGTAAAATGAACATGGAAGTATTCGAGGCAGCCGACAAAGTGGCAGCAGTAGCAATGGCTATACCCATGGCCATGCTTATAGGAACAGTAGCGGGCGGAGCGGAAAGGAGCAGCTGACGCTGACTTGTTATATACTAAACTGCCCGAGGGGCGGGAATCGGGCACCGGGAATCGGAAGGTGGGAAGTGGAAGTCGGGCGGCGGTAAGCGGAAGGATGAACCAGGCCAGACAGACAGACAGAGAGAGACAGAGAGCGGCGGACGGACGGAGAGCGAGGGAGACAGACACAAGGGGGCGGACGGACGAACGGAGGGACGGACAATTGCGTTTAACGTTTTTCGCAAAAACTTTTCGCTCCGCTTTCGTTGTATTTTCTGCGCTAAAGGAAATTGCCGGCGAGTCACAGACGGAACGGAGGCAGTGTTGTTAACAATAATTTACAGAATATAGCTAAATCAAAAAATTAAAAAAATCATATAATCAGAAAGATCAAATTATGTTTACTTCCAGGGAAAGCCATACATTTTGAAAAATTAGACAAACATTTCCATTATTATTCAAATATAATAATAATTTAGATAAAAAAAACTATGTTTAACTTTAATTTACTATTATTTTCACCATCTATTAATTTATATTTGGGTTTTGCAATTACTTACTTATCCAACTGTTGAGTTAAAAAAAAAAATTAATACAATTTTTGAACAATTTTATCATAATTATGAACCCACTTCCAGTGTTAGTCTTAATCAATAATAATACAAATTATTGTCAAAGGATTCCTAAAGTAAATGAATGTAAGATTTTTTGAGCTAGAACGTAAAATACCTATACAATTTGGTATGAAGTAGCCAAAAATTAGCCAACTGGGCAGCACTTAAAGGAGGTGGGGCGGTGGGCGGTAGTAACTGAGAGAAGGGGGTGAGGTGGAGCGGGTGAGTCGGGGCAACAACGCAACCAAGCATTTCGCACTGTTCCCGCTCCGAAGGTAACAACGCAAGAAAATGCCAGGCAACAAGACAAGCAGAACTGACGTAAAAAGATTTTTGTGTTTCCCCCCGGACCGGCTGCCCCTCCACTCCCCTAACCCTTATCCATTTGGGGGTGGCGTCTGGCCGGATTGAAGCCTCATCATGAAGCTTTCGCCCTCAACGATAAATGCGAGTGCGATCTTTAAACGCTGTCCAAACGCTGCGAAGTCCATTACAAAAATTCGGAAGGGGGAGGGCATTTCAACGCGTGCGGCTTTTGATTGGAAAAAGTTGCAAAAAAATGGTGAAATTTTAATTAAATGTTAAAAATTGTAAGCGATTTGGGTTGATTTAGGCTGCTTCGGTAAACATCTGCCAAAATATTGCGTCTAGTAAATTAGAGAATTTGGTGAGGGCTAACTAATAACATATTGTATTATTTATAGTATGCTTAACATTTGTGAGTTTCATTAACTCTTTTTCTTATTTAGGATAGGTCGATTTAGGTCTTTGTTATGACTAATTAATTTTTTATGAAATACAATTATTGATTATTGTGACCCGCATAACGAAATTTCGAATTTTCTTTACAGCTTAAATCGTCCCAGTTTCTGTGAAACTACACACAACAAAATGTCAAATTCAAATTAAATTTTAAAGTTTTTGCCACAAAAAGTAAAATTTAATCGCCCAAAAGCCAAAACTTAAACATTTTCGTGTTTCCGAATTGTGACATTCACACCCCCTACAAAAAGGGGGAAAATGCTAAATTTTTTCACTTACAATGCAGAATGTCTCTGGCTAAAGAAAAACTATTAGGCGATAGAAGGGAAAATTTTAATGAAAAATCTTTTGGCCAGCATGCAAAAGCCACTTGAAAGGACCCCCTCTCTCTTCCGCCCACTCGTCCCCTCTCTTTCACGTCGGCTACCTCTCTCTTTCAGTGACATGAATGCTGACAACGTGTCTTAGTTTGCACAAAACGAGCTCAAGAGATGCAGTCAACACACACACATACACACAGGATTTTCATTACCAGGACATGGCCGCCTGTTGTTGACTCCTTTCTGCCAGTGTATGTGTGACTGTTTTCCCGGCTTGTCATGTTAAAGGAATTTTAATTTAATTACAAGCCAAGACTGAAGGCAAAAATATATGGAGGGATATGATCTAATATTTTAGACTCAAAAAAATAAATAGGCACATTAATAGATTAGCCATAAAGATACTAAATCTGTCGGCTGGATTGACACACAGAAAACAATTTTTATTGACTTCCCTAAATTATGTAACCAAAATAACAAGCAATAATCAAACTCACGTATCAAGGATAAATACAACATTTAAAATTAAATTTAACTTACATAATATTAATTTCCCACCTGTAGACTTAAAACTGATTATACTTTCAGTGCAACTTTAAATTTCCCCTGTCTTTTGTTGATAATCAATAATAAAAATCAAGTCCGCATAAATCATTTCCTCCTGTCTAGCTAGATTGCTTATCGCACTTGTCTGGGAAATTAGAAAAACTTCAGGCAGCCCCTTCCATAAGTCTATTTTCAATTTTCATAATTTTCGGTTGAGAGAATTGCGCCGTCGGCGTTGACACCAAAATCAATATCTACGAAAATTCCTTGCAGGCTGTTTTTCTACAGGTATTTTTTTCATAGCTCAAATGCTTTGTCATATCCTTGCCCCCCCAAAGTTGTACCCCTCATTTCGGGACTCCACACTCTGTGGCAAGGCCGCACGTTCGTGCGTTCGTGCCAAAAAATAATTTCCTACTTGCCAGACGCAGCAGCAAAGTAAGGAATGATCGCAGGGGCAAAGAGGCAAAGGATGAGGCAGCATCCGAGGGGCAACTTGAGCGCACTTATTGTTATCAACGGCTGAAATATGGCATTTTAATTTTATTAGCTGCCTTTACATGCAGCACACTCCCAAGCCAAATAAATGTGCGGATGATGATGGCCATGGTGACGATGACAATCTCCCAGCGCGACAATGGGATCAAATGGATTTTTGAAAGCACTTGAGATGGCGAAAGGGAAGCTATCGTTAAGAAACGATTTTTATTTAATAGCAATTCTACCGAATATCATGATAATAGGGATTAGAAAATACTTGACTGCATCGAAATATTAAAGCTGAAAATTTGTAAAACGCTCGTTACGCTACACTCAGAAAACAAAGTAACCTAAGTTTGTGGGAATATTAACGTTAGGATAAGCCTACGTTTTTTAGTCTTTCTATTAGGCCAAATATTGCTTAGACTTATTTTTTAGGTTTATGCGATGCTAAATACTTTCAAAACTAATGTCTAACGATTTGAATTCAAGTATTTAACATATATTTGTAACTATTCCAAATAAGGGATATATTTCCCCAATCGAATGCCCATTGGCCCCCATAGTACGGGTTGTTATTGTTCTGGTTTTGATTGTTTTTGGTTTTTTTGGTCCCTCCACTTTTCGACAGTTTCATGGAGATTGCTGAGGATGGTGGTATTTTGTAGGGGGTGTCAGAGAAACAGAGAGTTTCTCTTTTAACTGCGCATGGCGAGAATCTCTAAGAGAATCGGGATTGAATTAACAGGGAATGGGGAGCTATCAAAGAGCCATAAAGTTATAGTTGCCACAGCAATGAAGTCATTTACCAAAAGTTTATTGCTAGTTGAAAATTGCGTTATTATTATGTGGCTACTCCTGCTCTTTATCTCTCTCTCTCTTTCTTGACCCCGATGCCGTTCTCTTAAGAAAAATAATTTATTACGCCTTGATTGAACCCCACTTTTCCTACCGCCCCTTTGTTGTCATTTTGGGGCTTCTGTTAAGCATTTTCGAGCGCCAGCCAAAACGCTCCCAAACAAGAGGAAGAAGCCGATGGAAAAGAGCAGCAGAAAGTGCGGAAAATACGGAAAATACTTTTGTGTTTTGGTTTGGCTCCTAAGGCGGCCAACAAAACTGGAGGCATCTCTAGTTGGCAATTTCGCAGCGTCGAGTCGAGAGAGATTCGAGCGCAATAATTTTCCGGAGAAAAACGTGGCAAAAAAGCGATAAAGTATCTTCGAATCATTTTCCGTCGGCAAATGAGTTTTGGCCATTGCGAAAAATTAGCATAAACAGAGTGTCCGACTGATTTTAGCCAAATGTGCGGCTGACACGGCCAATGGATCTGAGTCCCATCCCGCCCCCCTCCGCGTCTTCACCCCCCTCCGGCCGTATCGAGCGAACATGTGCCCCATAACTCCCTTCGAGCTACTGTCCACGATTATCCTCGAAAAGCGAAAATTACGGCCGTCTACTAAGCGGAAAAAGTATCGCAAATAGCCGAAAATTGAACTCAGTTCCTTTTTTCCCCCAACTCATCCATTTTCCGGAGGTTTCAGTTCGACGGAAAGTGTCGCTCAATCCACAGCAGGTAAAATGCCCATCTTACTTCTTTAGTTTCTGTTTCTGTTCCTGTTTATTTTTTCCTAGGTCTATTAAAAGTTCTATAAAGTTTCGAAACAGCTGCTGGGGCGAAAGTTTCCCGCTCAGCAAGTGTCGAAAATGCTTTGTATAAATAATTTCTGTGGCTACATACAGTTTGGTTTTGTTTTGCCGCAATTCGTTGGGGTCACAGTGCATTATTTTGATGAGGTCCCGGAGAAAGTTGTTTACGTTTCTCTTGATTTTACCATGGGAATTATTGTTACTATAAAGATTTGATTATGAATTTTATAAATAAGTATGGGCTTAAATTATATAATGAAAATAATTTTTTTAGTTTATAACTTACTTCTTCCTTGAATGCTTAAAATTAGTTTATATTTGGTTACATGTGATAAACCATTTTATATACCATTTTTAAGTACTATAAAAAAACAATTCAAATTCATCCTACTTGTTTCAAGAAGATGGATTCAATAAAAATATTTTTATTACGGCAAATATTATTTGCTTAAATATTTCGCTTGGTATGTTAAACTTTCATTTTGTATATTTATTTTTTCCATTCACTTCTTGCTTTCGCTGAGCTATTTTCAGAACTATTTTCCATTGAGCGTCTTGCACAGCTGAAATCTGTTCAATTTACCACAAATATTCCTTGGGTTGGCAATATAGGAATACCTGGCCTCCGGTCGCCGCTGCCCCCTTCCGTTTTGCCCTGCTTTTTTTTCGTGGCGCCCCGCATGTCACCGAAAAAAAGGAAATGTAATGCATTTCCACCGCTGCTGCCACATTGAAAATGGAATTGAGCAATGCAACAACAATGAAATGTGTGTAACGCATGAGATGAAATGAAATGCAACACGCGCTGAGGGCAAAAAAAAATAAAGAAAGAAATTTACAAAAACGAGAATTGAAAATCAGGCGAGCGAAAAGCGAAAAAAAGGAAGCAAAACAGCAGACCGGGAAAAAAAGAATTTTAAACATGGCGCGAACATAATGTCCTGTGTCCTTGCCTGTCGCCGTCTCACTCTTCTGCCCCTCTCTTTCCTTGCGAATTTCCCGCCTGTTGTTGTTGGGAAAATCGAACATTGATTTATGGCGTGTGCGAATGTCGGGGAGGCAAAAAAAAAGTATATATAGGGGGAAAAGGGGCTGACAACGATGATGCTGATGAGCTGGAATTGTTTTTGATATGTCCCAGGCGGAGAGCAAGGGAGAGGGAAGACGAGACAGAGCGAGACGGACGAAGCGACAGATGCAGGTCGGTTACATGAACGAAACGAATATCGGAATATGTGTCCGTACATTTACAGGACCGATTCTCGGGGTCCCTCATTGCCTCGATTATTATTATTATTTGTGACAAACGGAGGGAAGATGTCTTCCCTCTCTGTCGATCGGATATCTCCCTCTCGCTCCCTCCCGCTTCCCTCATTTCGCATTCATCGATGTTGCATTTACAACAAGAGCAGCCGCAAAACAACAATAAAAGGGAGAAAAAATTGCAAATGCAATTCGTAACGCATAAATTTAAAAAACACAAAAATGAGACAGTGGCGGGGTGAAAAGGGGGGGCCCAAGCGAACGCGTGTCACATGTCGATTTTCGATTGTTCGCAAATTAATATATAAAACACAACGATGCGGTCTGGCTTTTCTGCGGTTCCTCCGCTTTTCCACGTGTCCCCGAATTTACATTTCCCCCCCTCAACGCATTTACATGATACAATTGCGGATATTGAAAATGTATCGATTTGTTAGCTGAGTCTGAAATTGTCAGAAGCTTCATTTTAAACAACAATTTTAATTCAAAGTGAATAAATAATTTTTGGGCTGAACCAATACGAGGAGCTTAAGCTTTAACAAGTGGTTAATAACTATAGTGTACATAAATTTGTAAACGAGATATCAGAGATTGTAATTCTAAGATGGGCTAAAAATAAATTTTATATAAAATGAATATTCAATACTTATCTTTAATTGCATTTTAAACTCCACATGATCCCCAGATTTAATAATCAAACCTATGCTTTTTCGCCACTTAAACGCTTCCTGGAAAGCTCGTTTCAACGGAATTTCTCCTCGCCAATAGCCCAAATTCTCAACAAATTAGCTCCATCTAGCACTCTACGTCCAAGTCGCCAATCCGCCCCATCGATCCCTGTCTCCACACTAAATCTATCTAACTAAATCTAAACTCGTTTGGGCCCGCCATTGCCGACGGCCAAACACGCGCTGGTAATTGCAGCAATTGGCGCTCATTTCTCTGTCATAAATATCTTTTTGGCCAGCTCCAGTCCGGACTGGCGCAAATTATCGCATCATGCATGGCCGTCGAAGGGGGCGTTTGGGATGGGGGCGGAATAAATTGTAAATCACCTTCACACCAAAGACGGGCGGAAAACCGATTTTCCAACACTGCCCCCAAGGTCAGAGAGTTTGCACTAGAAAAGCGAGTTAATAAATTACGTGTAAAACAACGTGTGAACTAACATAAATAATTTTCGATGAGCCCACTCTTGCACATTTCCCAGTCACTCCTAGGAACAATCGATTAAGCGTAGATAAAAATCAATTTGCGGCCATAATAAATTGCTCAACTACCAGGAGCATAAGCCCCAGCTCTCCACTCCGCCTGTTGCAGCAATTTAGCTTAATTTTGCCAGACTCTCAGCAGTCCCTCGAACAAATTGGCCCGCAAGGTGAACCCAGAGTAAAAACAGGATAAATAAAATAAACCGAACTCTTCATAAGGAGCCCAGGCAAAGCAGCGAAAAAATTTACAAACATTGTAATCACGGGTTAAATATCGCCAAAGCCAGGGCCAGCTGCTCGGAGTCCACAGCCATCTTAACCCCGAAAGTATCTAAAGTTGAGAATCTTCCACCTTGGCGGAGTGGCCGAGAAGCGGGGAGAGGTCCGTGGATTAATCACCGCGGGCAGGGCAAGCCCCAGACTCCAAGGCCCCGTCGGACCCAGTCTGAAGCCTCGACTCCCACTCCAACTCCACTTCATCTGCAACTGCAGCTGGAAGTCTTCGGGTGAAGCTCAGTCCCATCCACTTGCCCAGTGCTCGCCGAGATCACGATTCACAACTTAATCCCAACCAGCTAGCTCAGCCGGTTTCCCTTGCCCTCCTCCTGCACTCAAAAAAGTTACCATGGTGTTTAAAATTTATTGTATTGTTAATTCCCTAGACTTGAATCAAGTTTTTTTAAAATACAATTACATCAAATATAATTATTAAAAAAAAAAAAACAATTTTATGCACTTATAAAAAAATTAATAATTAACAACAAATTTTGTTTTAATTCAAACAGTTTAGTTGTTATTTGTATTTAAGTGGATTTAATAATTTCAAAAAGTAATACAAATATTAAAAACTATAACGGTGTTTTCTCGTCGACATGGAAAACCAAAAGTAGGGCTCAAACTGTAAGATGCAAGCCCGTTTCTCGTCTTAAAATCTACATTTAGTTTATCATAAAAACAAAATATGTCATTACACAACACATCCAGTAATATTTAAACAGTATAATTCTAACAAATTTGAATATAATGTTTATTTACAATTTTTTCCCGGTGCAAATCATCTTCCATCCACAACTGCAGCTTCATCTAGAAAGGTGCAGCATCGTTTGTCCATTTGTTTCTGATGCTTTTGTTGCGTTTTGTATTTTGTTCATTTCACATTTTTATTTAACATCCGCAAATCGTCTGCCGCCCTCTCTTTTTTTTGCAGCCACGCCCCCCGATTCGTGGAGGCCAAGCAATGCAAAAAAGTGGCCAACTGATTCATCGAATCCGAAACAAAATGAATTCATTTGTGAGCGCACAGAGCCGTCGGGCAAGAGGGGGCAGTGGGCTTTCAGGGGGGAGGGGAGGAGCGGCCTTTTCTAATTGAAGTGTTTGTCTAGACCCCGGAGCGGTGAATGTTGCAAGTGATTAACAAATGGAAGGCAGAGTAGATGTAGATGCTCCGAGCACAGAGGTTGGCTTGTTAAACGATCCGAAACGGAAGATGGGAGATTGGATGAAAGGATCCAAACTGGTGCTCATGATTGTTTTTCATATGTCCGTTTTAATATACTAACTAAAACCATATACATATGTGGCATTAAGCTTCTTCTCAGGGCATTTCAATAAAACTTAAAATTGCTTATTAATATGTGAATTAATTATATAATTTATAACTAACGCGTGATACGAAGGAATTATTTAATATTGATTAGCTACTGATCCGATTATCAAATTTACATGTTAAGAAACTTTATAATTTTTAAAAATACATACATAACACACACATTTTCTAAAAATACATAATTAAAGGCAATAGCCTTTAAAATTAAAATTATTGTATTTTTGATAAACATATATATATGCTATTTTTAATCAATTTACTTTGTAAAGTAAGTAAATTGCTATCCATATGCAACGCATCCCCTATTTAGTTAGACAAACTTTAATATTTTTAAACAAAACTGGGTTTTAACGTTCAAACGACAAACGGCAGTCAGAAAGCGGAAAACCACCCAGAAAAAAAACAACAGCTCGTCGTGCACTTTTATCAGTGGGTAATAATTCATTACACACTTTTTCGCCTCCCCTTTCCCCGCGCCCTTTTCCTTGAACCATCAGCGGGCATCGGAAGTGCTGCATTTACCGCAATCGACGGCCATTTTTCCCATGCTCCTGGGAGTGGAAAATGGGAAGGGGGAAACGGGATCGGTCAGTTAGCGAGAAAAACGGTATGAAAAGCTAGCCGGGATGAGGTCGAAGTCCAGGTGATAAGACATACGCACCTAGGAAAAGGGAAGAAAAACAAGTAAAAAAGGATAAGCCGGGATAAGCCACTCAATTAACTAATTGTCCTCAAATGATATTCATTAGAGGAAA